GGGAATGAACACCAAGAACAATAAACACAAAATAGTTGGGATAAATTAAGGTGAAATATAAACACCATACCAAAGACTAAGATAATGAATGTTTGGGTCAGAGTAAGACAGAGAATGAGGAGGGTGCCATTTCCGTCCTGAGTGTCCTCCTTGCCATGCCCTGCAGTCCCCACCCTGTCCTCCTATCACTCATGTCCCCATGTTCTGTATGTGGTGGCAGCCGTTGCCCCTTCTAGTCCATGACAGACCCTGCAAATAATGGTGTGTACCTTTTTACAGCCATTTTTAAGAGCCTAATATGGGTATAAATGTAATTCCTGTAGGGGGGACAGATTATCTGTATGTTTAGTTAACAAATTCTTTGTAACGTATTTTTTTAGAAATCTTAAAATTGCCTTTGCACTGAAGTATTTTCATAGCTATTTATATCTCTTTTATTCATTTATTTGTTAACATATCATATCTAATTTTTAAAGTATGTTTTTAAAGCTTTTATTTTTTAAGTTTATGAAGTTGGCCACTTCAAATTCTGCTGAAAGTTTTGGCTGAATGTTTTAGTGTCTAATGAATTTTCAGGGTTGATTTTATTCTCTATACCTTTTTTTTTTTTGATGTTTCTGGTGGCAATGATTAGTTGAAAGGCATATTTAGAGTATGATAATTTGCTATGCTTATTCTTCACAGCAATTTAATCTGCTTTTTGTTTCGTTTTTAATTTCCATCCTTCAGCCTTAAAACAGAAGCTTTTTGCTTGATGGCTCAGTATCTTTTTTCCACCTGTATCAACAGTTACCATTTACCTCTGATAATTTAAGTCTCATTGTGAAAGTCACTAAAACTTTACTCACTCCAAAATGATTTTTTTTAATTGTTTGGGAAATGAAGGACTGTGCCTGATAATTTGAAATAGGTAAGGGGCATGAGATTAAAAAAATATAAGGAGGAAGAAAAGAACCCCACTGAAATGACATTTCAGAAAAGTCTCTGATATTCAGATACTCAGGTATTAGTGTGATTTTTCACCTTAGAGTAAGTAGTTAGTATTTACTTGCCTAAACTTACTTTAAACTTACTTTAAAGCAAGTAATGTCAACTTTAAGCATTTTTCTTAGTTTTGAAAATCTTATTCACAACTGCACATGTTAATAAATTATTAACTCATAATTTCCTATTTTGGTCTGAATATCTGGTTCCTAATCCACACTCCATTCCAACAGTTAAGTCATCTATAAAGAACGAGTGGTCCTGACCACAATTGCATTCTCTTGCTTTTAGCTCCATGTCCACTCTCGGCCACACATGTGCATGTGTGCCAGCTCTCATGCACACATGCAAGTACACACACGCACACATTCCCTAGGCCCCAAGTATCCCGGCCTCCTTCCTAAGGGGACATTTCAAGGAGCCTCCAAGAAGATAAGGCTCCTTCGACCTCCATGCCTAGTGTCCAGGAAGGATGCCGGAGACTGCAGGGCAGCCCCAGGGTTTGAAACAGAGCTGCTGATGACCCACACAACAGCGCCCTGGCCTAAGCTCCTCCTTTTCAGGAAGTCCAGCCGCCCCCCAACATACCTCCCCAAAGCTCCACCCTTAGGACAAGTGGCAGAAAGCAGCACCTGGACCCTCCCAACTGTAGCATCTTTATATGCGTCCAGGAGCACAGGGTAGCCCTCCGCCACAGGGCAACTAGGAGAAGAGTTCTCTTGGCAACTCTTACTGGAACCCAAATCGACCCATTCCTGTGCATCTGATGTGATAGGGGGAACGCAGACCAGACAACACCCAGAAGGGCATGGCCCTGCAAGACCTGGTGGTGGCAGTGCCTGGACTAGGGAAGGTGGCCCAAAACAACCAGGTTCTTTAATAACAGGTTTATAGAATTGTAGTTTGGCCTGGTGAGATTTTGTGGCTTTAACAACAAAAATGTCTCACCATACTGTTATAACTATTCTTAAATTGCTGGGCATCAACCAAATGTTCAGTGCAAACTAAAGGAAGTTTTCTGACCCTTTTCTTTAAAGACACTAAGTTCATCTATTTTGCACTGATTAGTAATAACCTAATGCAACCACTTCCACTTTATCTTAAAATTAATATTATTTATTTGACAACGCAATATAACAATTTGATATGCAGTTTCTTGCATTCTACATTTCTTTTGGCAGTTTCCCATTTATATGTTAAAAACAGGAAAAATGTCTGTTGGAAAATGCTCTTTTTTTTTTTTTTTTTTAAGCCAGAGAGTAGGTGGGTGGGAATGAGAATCATTCTGATATTGTGTATAAAAAAAGCTTTAATGAAGATCTGTTGGAAGTATTATTAAAATGTGATCCTACTTTTGCAGAAAAAAAAATCTAAAGGTCAGTTTATATAGCTTTATTTTTTACCTTATCAAAATATACAGAATTTTAATATGCATATATTGTCTCTGACTTAAAATTACATGTGTCTGCATCGCCATTTAAAATGTCCATTGATTATGTAATGTAATAAAAGAGAATCTTTAAAAATGTATTTAACATGAATGGTATCTATAGTTGTCATCATCATGAATACTGGAATTTATTTTTAAATTATTGAATACGGTAGGTGCGTTTAAGATAATAAATCAGCCTCCAGTCATGGTTTAATTGATAATAATTCATTAATTTAACTTGCTTTGAAAAATTAAATTGTGAATTCAACCAAATCTTACATTTCTGTAAAGTTTATTTTGTATGCTGTTTTTAACTTTTATTTCTGTAGATAAAGTATGAGTTAATATTAATTATGTTGGACTTTTCTGTGGATCATATAAGCAGGAGACTTGAATCTGCTTGCAATAAAGAAGAAAAAATGTCTGGTTTAGATTCTTTATAAATAAAAAAATTAGAGAAGTTGGACTTAAATTTCCGCTAATGGAAGCTCCAGGGAAAAACACTCTCAAAGTGTATTTCTGTTTGGGATAAAGTGGAAAACATACTGTGGGAAAATGTGTGGGGTGGGGTGGTTTCTGCCCCCTCGTTGCCCCCGCTGACTCCCTGGGTCCCCCTGCCCGGCTGTGAGTTGAGGGGCCCACACAGAACTGGAAACTCAATATCAGATTTCTTAACACACTGCCCATCCCCAAATCCACACTCCTTGATCATCCTGCCAGAGATCCTTACCTGCAGCCACCTTCCTGGGTCTAAGCTTCCCCTTTCCATCTAGATTTTTCTCCCTTCTCTCCACTTGTCCAAACTCCAGGCCCCCAGGCCCTACTAGGCTCTGCTGGTCATACCCAACTCCATCACAATGGAGAGCAAGTGAGTTCTGTGAACCACCACTTTCCACCCAGTTGGATCCTGGGTGCTGCTCAATGCCCGAGAACACCTTTCTGGCTCTAGAGGGCCTAAGGCTTTGCCCCCACCCCTAGCCCTGTACCTCTCTTGCTCTGGTGGCCATATCCCTCCCTGCCCACTGGCTG